AAAAAAAAAAAAAAAAAAAGAAGGGGATGAAAGAGCAAACAGAATAGTCTGCCTAAACTGGAGGAAGTGTATAATACTACAAGGGAGTACAGTGGATTTTAAGTCATTCAACCCAAGAGAACTTCAGGGACCTTGTTGGCACCATGGTAAGTTTTAGCCCCTATTTTCACTTTTATGCTGCATTCTCTCCCTATCTTCTCGAGAGCCACACACAGGGAACACATGATGGTCCTCACTTCACCTTCTGAGGAGAAAACGCTAAGTGTAAATGCCAGCCCCAATCACTATCCCAGACCCAATTTCTGATTCTATGTTGGGAAGTCCTAAAGAAGCAATTTTGTCTTCTTGTCTGCCCAAAGTCAGTATTCCCTTCTGCCGGGCAACTAAGCTAGAATGACCCCTGTGACTTTAGAGAGCATTGTCAAGTCTTGGACTACGTAAGAAACAGGGGCTTGACAACACTGGAGGGAGAAACCAACCCCTTTCAATTACACCAGGAGCTGACACAATTACATGAGCAAGGCAACTTTACCAAGAAAATGAATGCACACTTTCTGCAACAAAGCAAACCTATCAATTTTGGATATTCTGTAATAAAAATAGGTTTTTCAGCTACTTTTTACAGTGACCACTCAATTAGAGAAGTAGTTACTAAAACATGAGTGGTATTTGACATAATCATGAGTTGTGAGAACAGGTGTTGGAAAAACTAACCCAAGAGTTTCTCAGCACAGAAAACATAACCTGCTTCTTCTCTCCTTGCACACAGCTCTGAGGGGGGGCCAGGCTGCTCTGCTATGGCTCTGGCAAGGCCAGGACAGGCCTTAACTACAACCATGAGCACCAGGCAGGGTTGGGCAGCCAGGCAGGCACTGACCTGAGAAAGGCATCCGCCCAATAGCCCAAGGGGACTTCAGAGAACAGCAGAGCAACACTACCACCACCATAAACCCAGAAACCACACAGCTCAAGTTCTGGAAACCTGGTTTCCTGGGAATATTATCCCTTCTGACTGACATTCCACAGGTGACAGACTCATGGGTCAGCTCAAGTTTTGATTCTTTCAAAACTGCTCAGTACAACAGGTATGAGCACTACACATTTTATGGGAGGCAAAGATCTGTAACACACACCCAAATCACTGCATTTCCAGGCAGTGTGTGCCCTCACACCATCCACTCTTTCATTTAAGTGAGTCACAGCATGTCTGTCAATCTTATTCTTAGATTGACTTGTAGACCAATCAATCACTCCACTACTAACTTCCTAAAATATTTTTGGGGGGCGGGGAAGCGGGGAAGGAAGTTTTATTAATATAGTTCACTGCACTATCAAGGAAAGAATTGTTAATAAAAACTAAACTTTTCCCCATGAGAAGTTGTGACACTCAAAGCTTCTACCTTCATGGAAGGGAAGTAACAAGAAGTACTCAAGCTGCACTGCAACACACCATCCCCCGGGGACAGGGCAGAGCCCACCTGGTCTCAAGGTGGCAACCTCCTCACCACCCCAGAAAACTTTAGCTGCAAACACACAGATGCAGAAAGATCTGAGGACTACATTTCCAAGTTCCTGTTTCTCAGAATGTCAAAGTCAGCTTCATTTTAAAATTCAACTAAATAATCACTTGAATAAAAAACACATGTAGAAGTAAATAACCAGAATATTTATCAGATTGCATACTAAATTTTCCTTGTACAATGTTTTTAATGAGCCATCTACTCTCTTTGTCATCAACCAAAATTAGTACTGTTTGAGTAAATAGTCTATTTGAAAAGTTAAAGTTAACAGACTGTCTTGCATGTCCTAGTGCCTCCCCTGGTTCACACTCAATTCAAACAGTGCTGAACAAGCATCAATCACCTTGACAAAAGCAAGCTGGGCCCTGTCCAGAGGAATACACAATCAGACTCTTTACCGAGGGGTGCACTGCTGTGCAGCCCTGGGTGCTCAGGAGTTTGAGGGAGAGCAGCTCAGAAGGCAAGGGAGCCTGGAGACAGTCCAGAAGAGAGGCAGGCAGCCAGATGGGGCTAGAGTTTTTGGTCCAAAAACAGAAGCTGGAAGACCCAGTCCCATCTGTCTTGGGTGTCCCAGACACACACGATTTCTAGCCCCTCTGCCCAGCCAATCAATTCTGTTCAGGCTAATTTGGTAAAACTCTAGCTGCCCTTAGAGGACCATGACCTTTTCTTCAGCATCTCGTTTTACTCGCTCCTCTTCTTGGCGACGACGCTCTTCCTCTTGTCTTGATCGATCTTCTGCTTCTCGCTTACGTATCTCTTCCAATTGCTGCTGGCGCCTGCGTTCCTCATCCTGCAACTAACAACAAACTGCTTTTAAGTTTCACCCAGTCAACGCCACCAGCACAAACATAAAAGCACACGTGGAGACAGGCAGACACACAAAGGCACACCCAGACACATACATACAGAAAGTTAAATAGAAAATACCAGGTTATGTCACTGTTGGAAGATGATAAAGCTTACACATTTTATAACCCTGTAATTTCAAAATGAGTTACCTAAGTACTTTGTCTCCACAGTCCCAGAGTTGTTCTTCCATTAATCATGGCTCAAAGAAACAAGTTATCTCAGATATTCATGCATTACACAAGCATGATTCTTGTATTAGAGTAAGCCTGTTAGCTGCCCCTGTACCTTAACACCCTCAACAGCAGACAGCTCCCACTAGATGGGACTTCAGAACACCCCCACCTCCTGAATGCAAGAAGAAAGTGCCTCTCCTGTGGAATGTGGGGCCCCATGGCAGCACAATGCTGCTTGCCCCCATTGCCCCCAACCCACTTGTTCTCGGTCAGTGAGGACCTTGTGCTCTTCCTCCCTGGCCCTTTGGATCCCATCCTGGACTTCCAAGGATTCCTTCTGCACTCTGGATAACCCCAGGCTCTGAGTCAGTCTGAACTTGAGGTGTGGAAGGAACTCAATTGTGTCTGAATACTTCAAGCACCTGGGGACTACTGCAAGCCCACTCAGCACACTCAGCTGTAGGTGCTAGTTAGTTCAAAAGTTCTTAAGTTGGCCCAGAATTCATTACCTCATTTTTCTTCTAGTTTTGGTCATTTGAGTTCTGCCTTTTTAAAATAACACAAAAGATACAACACCTTTCTGTCACAGCATTCCAACACTTACAGGTATTTTCAAATGCCCTATGTGTGCTTTCTATATGGCTTTGGGTCCTTTATGCTCCCGAGGGTCATATTCTTCTCTGCTCTCTGCATTACAGGTTGAAAACCTCTTCTAAAAAGGCAGCCTGGGCTACTAAACAGGACAGGCTCCCTTTTGTTCATCTCGACACACAGCTGTCTGTGGTTCTAGCTGGGGCAGTGTCACTCTCCACTTCCTTCTCAGTTGGCACAGGCCTGGGCTACTGGAACTCCCACAGTGGCACTAGATATGTCATCAAGAGCAGCTGATTCACAATCTCGTTCCTAAAATTCCTGCAAGGTGAGGTCCCTCTACATTTCTACCAATTACCAGACTTTCTACAAATTGTTAATAGCAGAAACACATTTGAATTGTGTTTATATACTTTTTTAGAAACAAAAAATCTAACAACTTCTCTCTCCCTTGATTTCTGTGAAACAAAATACTGCATCTGGTGGGGAAGAATACATTGACCTGCATTACTGTTTTTTTTCATGTCACTAAATAAGGAAACATCTTAGAAAAAATTAAAATTGTCTTCTCAAAAAGGCAAATGAATTTAATTTTTTCTTTACTATAACCTAGGAACAAGCCTGAGAGGGAGGCTGGGATAACTGGGTGTGGTTTAACAGCAGGTGCCTGAGGCCCTGCATGGGGATGGGGTGGGGTCAGGAACTCACTGCCAAAAACAAAGACCAGAGCTCCAGTCTTCAACAGAGATGATGCAAAATAGCACCACCTGAAAACACAAAATACACCAGCACAGAGGACAGGAAATATCCTACAGAAAAGCAGCAGAATGAACTGATGCACTGAGGGCTCCCCTCTCCAACAACGTGCAAGCTAATTTCATTACGCTGTACTTGCTAGACCTAAAAGAGTAGTTCTGGGCACGAACATATTGTACGATGATAGAATCGGTTTGCTCTTTTAAACCGAACAGGAACTTTAGGAAGCCAGAACAAGTACAATTCTCTAATTACAAGTACAAACTCTGCCTTGTAAATCTATAAATAGGCACAGCACTTTCTAATAAAGCTTTACTTTTCTATGTCTAGATGGCAGGTGTAAGCAAGGAGCCTTCTCCTTGTGTTCAGCTCATTAGTTATTACTAATTCATGTGTTCTCATTTCCCCCACAATTTTTGTGTTCTTCAAGAAAGCACTGCTTCACATTCCTTCCCCTTCCATAAGCATTAAGAATTAAAGAAGCTCTAAATTTACTCCAAGAACTACTCAAACAGCGACAGCTACACAGACACATTAAGCCCAGCAACACACCGCCTGGGGAGGTGACACTGCACTTGGGTAGGACAGCCATGCTGGACACTGAGGTACAAACCACAGTGGTCTGAACTAAAGCTATTCTAAAACCAGGACTGCTGCTGGAAGTTCAAAACCAGCGTGTCAACTTGGACCAAGGTCCTGAGAGACGAGCAGTCCACACTCCTAAAAAAGTCTTTTCAGATTAAAAAATAATGCAGGTCAAAATCCATGAGTCTATAATTTCACAGCACATGTTACTTTGTATCTTGATTATAGTAATCTCAGTAAAACAGACAACGGTGTTTAAATATGTGAATATAAAATAAGGTCATGATAGCCTTTATTTTTTGACATTTTCACTGAACACAATTCAAAGTCTACTAAAGTTCTTAAAAATTCTTTTCTTCAATATTTATTCTGTTTATGCTCTCTTCCAATAAAAATGCTCAAAGTTTAAGGGGAAAAAGAAGACCCTTGATCAGATCACTCATTTCTACTGCCCTCTGGTACCATAATACCTGGGTTCAGAGTCCAGTTCTACAACTGTGTCTAGCGTCAGATTTGCTACCAGGAAACAAAGGCCTCCCTTTCAGTGACGGTACACACTGAATGAGACCAGGGCCACAAACCCTTCTCTTACTTAGTACGGCCCACGTGGTCCACACACTTGCTTTTTTTAATTTAAGAAAAATGACCATTTTCTCAAAAGTTTTAAAATTTAAAGCTCAGCTGCTGAAAGATCCCAGTAGCAGAGACATAAGCAAGTAGCCCCCAAGTAGAGCATAAGGCTCAGAGGGCCAGGACCCACAGCTGCACCCCTGCCTGGCAACTTCCATCTCATGCCATCACGGCGGTTTTCTGCTCTGCTCCATAATGTATACTCCCGAGTTCTTACGCAGCACTGCCTTCCTTGGAGAGGCACTGTCCACTCTGGGCAGGCCCATCATTCAAGGGTGCTCCAAACTGAAAGGGCCATGTGGAGAGCACTTCCTACCAGTGGTTGCTCTGAGACCAATTCCTCAGTTGGGTCTGAAATGTCTGTAAGGCTTCTGACTTGATCTCTTCTACCTGGGGGCTCCCTTTGTGTGGCTACTGCCCCCAACAAAGCCAGGCAGAAGTGCAGCACAGGAAGGGGCCCAGCAGGGGTTTTCACTGGAGAACAGAAGAGCTGCAGAAATTTCTGAAGACATCTGGTCACTGTTATCACTCAGGATGAAGGCTCGTTCTTGTGAGCTCTCAGATTGTCCTAGTCAGTACGGGACTTGTTAACCTCTGGTGACAGGACAAAGGTGACATAAGCCATGGCCCAGTGGATGTCTAGCTCAAAGATGGTCCTGGTAATGCCACTTTGGGAAAAAGAGGTGCTTCTGTGCCAGCAGTAAGAGTAGTTAACATGACTTGGGAAATGCTGCTCACAATGCTGACTTGCACCTGATCTGCGTGATAGGGATGAGGCTGTAGTACACTGGGTTTGGCCTTCTACTCACCCACAGTACAGGCTACAGTACAGGTTTGTTATGAAGAAATGTAAGTAACAGAAGCAATAAGGGCACAAGTTACACAAGCTGTCACTAAGTGCAAGAGGTATCCTCTAGACCTCAGCCAGGTCAATATCCACTCATCCCAGGCCTTAACTGAATGGGCTGCAACAGTTAAAGAGGCTCCAGATAAGACAGAGTACTATGACCACAGGATGTAAGTGTCCCAACACACTCCAGGACTCCTGGAAATGGATTTGCCATGGGAGTTAAGGGAAAGGCCCTATAGACAGAGTGCTTCACTATTCTTTGGCCTCAGGGAAGTGGGGAGGGGAGCTGGAGTCCCAACAAAACATATTTTGGTTTGGACAGCTGTGGCTTCATGTAGCATCTTAGCAGTTAAACTCAGAGAGAACCTAACAGTGACTTTATTGTCAGGTGGTATGAAGGACACACACCATCAGGAGCTTGAGGATCTGGGCCCCAGACCATATTCAGCATGACTGACCACCAACCATATGCCAGAACTCTTCCAGGAACTTGGGCAGACAAAAGGTCAGTATTGCTACCCCAAAGCAGCAAATACCCATATATGATGAGGAGCCTCAAGTGGGAGGAGGGGGTGTGAGCAAGAGGACGGCAAGTGCTCAGCAAACAAGCAGAGTGCAGGGAAGCACAGCCAGGAGCTGAGTAAGGACAGATGCACATCAGCATCAAGCAACCCGGGCAGGCACATCTCACTGAGGGAGTCAGCAAGGGCACCCCTAGCGAAGGGCAATGACACCTGGGGAGAAGCTGGCCTGGCACGCTGAGAAGCCCCTCACTGGGTGGGCAGGCAGGCCAAAGGATGGAGGATGGTAGAGACCGACAGCCTCAACAGACCCTGGGAAGACCCACCTGTCTGTCTAGGTGAAGAAGCAGCACTCAGCAGGGTGACGGGGACTTCCTCCTGGGATTGCTAGAGCTGCTTTGATGAGAACTGCCCCACGAAGGTACCAGGAGCAGAACTGACAAGTCCAGCCACACTCTCCTCAGTGACCAGCAGGAAATGACAGCAGCTCACACTGGGGATGGGAGGAGTGGAGTACCTAGGTGCAGTCAGGTTCTGAGAGAGAGAAGCAGTAGTTTCTGAACAGAGAAAAGAAAAGGGATCATGGTGGACTACGTATTCTTGACTGGGCAACTACAAGTGTACAGGGAGGAAGAGGTAGAGGTAGAGTGGGGTGCGGTGCAAAAAGGGATTTACTGATGAACATGCTGAACTTGCAAAGCTGTAGCTATCTCTAGAAGGAGACGCTAACAGGCAGGTGGGCAACCAGGTCGTTAGTGTGGGAGGGGCTGAACTAGAAATGTGAATGGGTCCTCAAAGCCATGCATCTGGGATGAGCAGGGAGAGGGAGGAGGAGGCAGGCCCTGGACTGAAAGGGATAGCAGCCCCTGAGAGACCAGAAAGAAGAACAGGACCTGTCTAGGCAACCCTCCAGTCTCACGGAACTTGGCTGCTCCCAACATGGCAAGAATTGCCTCATTATCCCATGAGTCACCCCGAATCCTGTGATGTGCTAAGAGCATGTCATAAGACCATAGGGCAGCACTGCTATTCACAGGATCATGGAAATCATCACCTACCCATCTCCCCCAGAGGAGGTGCCCAGGATAACCTGCCAACTCTGACACACAAGAATTAATTCTACAGAAAATAGCACTGTCAGTAATGGTATTAATACTCACGGGGAACTGGGCCGAGAAGTGCTCAGAAACGTGGTGGTTAAGAGCAACACTAAAACTCAGAATACTTATCCTCTCAAAATGAGGACAACTCAAAATAGCTTCTTTGAAATAGAAATCTTAGATTAAGTATTATTGTTCATCACAGATGTCTTCATAGCACAAAAAACCCTCTCTGGCCCAGGCAAGTGGGGCATATCTGTAATCCCAGCACTCAGGAGGCTGAGGCAGAGGATCAAGAGCTGGAGGCCAGCATGGGCTATACAGGGAGCACTGCCATAAAATGGATGCTGATAAACACTTGTTAAATGAGCATCTCACACCAAGAATAATTCTGTGCCAGGCATGGTTGCACTTGCTTGTAATCTGAGCACTTGGAGGCTGAGGCTGGAGCACTGGGAGTTTGAGGTCAGCCTGGACTACAGAGTGAGATCCTAAAAAAGATTAATTGATCAACATCTTCCAGTACAAATACCTCTGACACAAAGTTTGGGGGGGTATTTTATTATTTTGATTGATGTAAAATAAACAAATATCAGAGCTCAGAAAATATGCCTTCTGATAACCAGGGAGGGGAGTTGTTTTTAAGAAAGGTTTCTCTCTGGGTGACTGTTCCCATGCTAAAGTGAAAAGAGGGGAGTATTACTTGGTGAAAAGGCCATTAAAGTAAAACCTTGATTAAAGGATTTTTTTTTTTTGAGACAGGGTCTCACTATGTAAATCAGGAGAGCCTTGAACTTACTATGTAGCCCAGACTGGTCTCAATCCTCCTGTCTCTGCTTCCTCACTGCTGATTACAGGTGGTGCCATCACTCCTGGGGATTCAAGGATTTTTTCAAGTACTGTGGGGTAGTGGCTCCACATCACTTAGAAGCTGACCCAGAATAGACACTCACTTAAAGAGTTAATATGCCAGTCAGAATATAACTGTCATGCAGGTGACACAGATACAGTATTTAAGCACAAAGAGCACTCAATGATCAACCAAATTTCTCCAGCACTAACAGTCAACACAATGAATCACAGCAGAATGCTACTGCAAGTATTTGTGGGCAAAATATAAATTGGTATGGCTCATCAACTCAACTAAAATTCATGTGATCTTATCAAAGAAAACACAGAATACATATTCACTGGAAATCTCTCGCTCTGCCAACACAGTGGTACCTCAGTTCAATCTAAACTAGGAGCAGTGTCAATACCATTTCAACTGAGTTTACAACAGAACCTAAAATTGTTAAATACTGTTGATATTTAAAATCTATTTCTAATGTAATAAAGAGTGAAATGGATTGCTCAGTGCAAAATTTATTTTGCTCATGTACTTGTGACTAGGTTAGGAATACACAGAATCAAATTATGACTCAAACTAATAAAAGGTCAAAACCATAAACAAACAGTAACATTTAAAATTAATGAGAAAAGCAAAGAGTATCTAAGTCTAGTAACATTCAAGGCATGCTTCTAAATGTCACAGGGCTGCCTCCACTGAGGAGACCGAGGGAGAGCTGATCCACTGAGACATAAAACAGCCACCACCAAGAGAGGAGAAAATCAAGACAGGGAAAGAAACAAGAACATACCAAATCTAGAACAGAGATTGCTGGCATAGCAGTCTGCTGCAGGTAGTAGAGAAGGGAAAAAAAGAAAGATGAAGTGTGAAACAAAAGTTAGGTTTAGACCTGCATTCCGCCACCGGCATTCTTTGTTGCTGTCATGCTTCGCCTGTTTTTGAACAACCCGATGAGAAATCTACAAAACCACAACTAACTTCTAGCACTGGAAACAGAAAAATGTCTACATGCTATTAAATACTTGACTTTCATCATCAACAGGCATAAAAAACAAAAAAAGCAAAATTTCCCTTAGCTCTCTTATTTGGAGACTATATTGTTAACCCAAATATAATAAATCAAAAAAAAAATTTTTACTAAATTAGCATAAAAACCTTTCCAAATGTAATAGATACTAAAAGGATTTGAAGCATTCAGTGTATGAACATTTGGAAAACTATGACAAATCGTCAATAAAAACTTCATCTTCACAGAAGAGTGACTACACAATGCTACAATGCAGCTACTAATTTTTCACTACTGTTAGGATACATTTATAACACTGAGAAGTGCTGATATTGTGTACTCATTAGCCATAAAATATACAGCTGGACATTCAAAGTATGACTGCAGGAAAGGCAGAGTCATCCTTTCCTCCTATCTTGGGACATGGGCCCATGGGCAAGATGAGGCCACGAGTGTGCTCAGTGACCAGCCGAGCAGAGCACACACCAGCTCTGGTGCTGGTGAGGCCACAGCGACGTACAACTGGCTGTGAAGCAAATGAAAGCTACTCAGAGTACTCTGATGGTAAAAATCTTTTTCATTAACTGAATAGCTGCTCTCTCAAATAAAATTGTTCTATGGTGAAGTCATTCTTAAGGATTTAAGGAAGTGTACTAGTGATTACATACTAATAAAAAGCGATGCAATCATTTAAAATCACAGATCACATTTTGGTCTTATTTAAGAAACTTAAGTGTCTATAGGGGTTCCAGCTGAATTTTGGGCATATATCTATCAAGAAGTAGGTGTGAGAGAGAGACTTTTCAGGAAAAATTCACAGAGCAAGTAAAAAGGGATCACACCACAGAGCTCTGTGTGGACTGAATTTCCTCGTGAGGTAAATGCTCCAGCATTAAAGAAGAGTTGAAATTAGAAACAAAACCCAAAAGACAAAAAACAAAAAAACAACAAAAAAAACCAACCAAGCTCTTGGCCACCTTTTCTCTTAATACTGCACTGTGTAGATAAGTATCACTAGAACTCATTAGCATGACATAGTCAATAGCACTCTCCACAAATTCATATCAAAATGCCTCTCTCTTAACAGTTCTCTTGACAGGGTAACAAAAATCTGGCTTCCACCTAAAATTTGGCATTTTAAGCTTTACTTTTAAAGTTTTATTTGACACAAAAACCATTTTATAGTACGGAGAGATACAAATCAGATCAAAAGCTCTCAGCACTTTTACACTACAACTATGACTATAATGAATGCTTGCTTCTACTTCTGCTAATGACGCTGAACGTAAGCCCATGTCCTGAACAGTTTCCTTGACTCATAATTGAGGCCATTTCTGTTGGGCTTCTTTGGCACTCAGCCACACCCACTGTTTGTGTGATATCTGCAGCAGAGCCAAGTGATCCTCTGACCCCATAGACACGGGCTGATCAAGCCTCAGGTATTTACTCTCTTGGCCCTTTAAGAAAAATTTTGCCAATCCCTAATCAAGATTATGAGTGGTCATTAGCAAATTCCTGTTTTCTCAATGGAAGTATTAGAAGGGTAATTACGAGGTTACTAATTAGAACAAGACAGTTCCATCTGAACTGCATTTACTTCTTGTCAAAGTACGTCTCAAAATTTTCCAGCCCTGGAACCCTGGCTCACATCTGCAGGACGTCAGCCAACAGTAACACCTATAGTAAACATGGTGGGCCCTTCCTCACGACTGCTGGCTGAGCTGTCTCCATAACAAACACACACAGGTCAGAGGCAGAGGCATTTCCCCCTTTACCCTGGCTCTTCGCTCAGCCTCCAGGCGCTGCATGATCAGCATGGTGTCCACGTCGTCGTCTTCCTCTTCCTCATCGTCCTCATCCTTCTGCGTAGCCTCCTGGAGCCTCTTCTGGAACTGCCACTCCAGCATGAGCTTCCGCAGACGGTCGCTCTCCTCCGCGCTGCGGTCTGCCTTGCTCTGGAGCTCATGGATCTCCCTACTCAGCATGTCCACAATGTGCCTCTGCTGCTGCTTCTCCAGCTTCTCCCTGGCATCTCGCTTCCATGGGTCAGGGGACAGGCTGTCCCCTGAGGACAGCTCCTCTTTGCTGATTGTGATATACTGCAAGTCTCTGCGCTCGATCGTGCGGGGCTGCTGCTGGGGCTGCAGCTCCCGAATCACTGTTTCCTGAGGCCTCTGGAGTGTGGAAGGCTTTTCTGGCTTCAGCTGTTGTGTGGCCAGGGGGGAGAAAGGAGGAGGGTTCAGGGACTGGGTGCGCATCTGCCCCAGCTTCCTCTCCTGCTCCCTGCGCTTCCGCTCGCGCTCCTCCTCCAGGCGGGCCTTCTCCTTCTCATACCACCGCTGGTGCTCTTCTCGCTTCTTCCGTTCTGCAGCAGCCACCTGAGCAGACTGTGGTCCCACCTGGCTGGTGGGAGGGGGCGGGAGAGGCAAGTCCATAGAAATCCCGTCAAAATCGCTGGGGTAGTGCACAGGGGGTGGAGGGGGTGGTGGAGGCAGGTCTGTTCGAATGGGCTGAGAGACGGCCACTGGTGTGGGTGGCACCGCTGCTGGGGTTTTCCAACGGCCAGGGCCGCTTTTGGTCAGTGTGGAAGCAGGGGTGACTGACTTGGAAGAATGGTTCAGGTGCTCTTGGCTAGACGTACTAGATTCTACCGAGAGCTCTGATTTATCCACATATCACTATCGGACTTCCGATCCATAGTGGCCTCTGCTCGATGCCGCTCAAACTGATAAGCATTCTCGTCCCGAAGCTCTTCTTGGGAACGGGTGACACGCTGGGAAAAGAAAAAGAGAAACCATTATACCCCAGCCATTCACCAGAAGAAATGATCAAAACTTCACAGATAATTTCATGTTCATGGAGAAGAAAGACTACAGAAAGTGTGGAACAAAGCACACAGACTAGAAGCTGAGACTGCTCTATAACTCACTGGCCAAATAAACTGTTGTGAATTTATATGCAAAACAAAGGAAAAGATGCAGTTCCTCTCCTCTCTGCACCAATGGAAAACACAAACCACACGAACACCCAGGTGTGTCACTGCTGGTGCCTTCCCCCCGAACTCCTCAGCAGAGCATGAGAGCATCTGCACAGCCTCCAGGTGGGACCAGCCCTAGCACTGACTTCTGTGTGGTCTAACTGCACCACGGGCGACAAAATACTCCTCTGCAACCAAGTCCAATTACTACCAATTACCACACCATAACCATCCATCCATGGATCCATTTCTGAATGAGTTCTAAGCTCAGGAGTAGCTTTAGGAGCTCTTTGATAGGGCCACTCAGCCCAGGACAAGTCTCATTCATCCAAGATGTTTTTGCTTCAATCTTAGAAATGTAAAAAAGGCAGTAGTTTAACTCCAATGGACAAAGTCTTGTTGAGTGCATGAGAGACAGAGAAACTTTTTTCAAAGGGCTGGTACAAAGTCTGCAAAGTAGCATGTCTGAAAGTTCACCCTGATAGAAATGATCACTGTGATGTCTGAGTCATATCTTTTCCCTGCCTTGATAACGAGCAGAAACTGAAGATATAAATCTGGAAAATAAACAACCAACAAAGCAGACAACATACCACTTTAAAAGAGCGATAGCCTAACATATCCCTACCACAGGTTCCACTGGCGGGAGAGAAAAAAGTGCAAGTGATGTCACTGAGGTCTCATTTTTCACTGCTGGAATCAGAAACCCCTCTGTAAAAGCTGTAATTACACTTTAGATTACTAACATTTTACTTATCAAGCATTAGAACATGAAATCCCTTCTCCTACCGTATTCTGTATTCTACTCCATTCCCCTTTAACCACAAAACTGTGAAAGGAAAAAATAAGAAGACACCTTGCTATTGTACAGAAAATATCGCATCTAGAAGTCACTCATTTCCTTATTGATCAAACTGGTCTGCCTTACTCCTTTGGGGGCTGAGGAAAATTTGAGGAAGCCCTTATTTCTAACCTGAATTGCAATACTGGAATGGCTGTCGGTTGGTATGTGTGGCTTGTCCTCATAATTTGGCCACTGGTTCTGAGGAGGAGCCATCCGGTCCTGGGACTTGGAGGCTGGGAAGGTGAAATACTCTCGGGTGTATGTTTGAGTGGGGATAGGGTAGGCTTCAGGTCTGGGTGGAGGGGTCTGCTCCTGTGAAGAGGGAAGAACAAAAACAGTGAGGTGCTTACAACTGGACAACAGACTAATTTACTTTCTAGTCCTCTAGTTTAGAAATCAAAGCAAAAACAGCATGTTAAATACTACATTAATAAAATTAAGTTTGGTAATGTACTGTGAATGAGAAAAAACATTTTATTTGGCCTAAATTTATTAATTTAAAACTAATATACCTAACTAATATTTAAAAAGGATTGGGACTGGTGGAATGGCTCAAGTGGTATAGTGCCTGCCTAGCAAGTGTGAAGCCCTGAGTTCAAATTTCAGTATCACAAACAATCAAAAGATGAAATGTCGCAAATTTAGGAATTTGCTAACTTTTCAACACTAATTTGCTGAGTGTGTATTAGAACTCAGGCTCTAAGTGAACCGTAAGTACTACACGAAAAGGGTCTCGGCGCATCTCTCAGACCTCAGTGCAGAGGTTTCCAGTGGAGACAGACGTTATCTTAGCTGCTGTTCCAGAGGCATATGTGCTCTTTCCCACAGGACTAGGAGGCTGATCTGTTAGAAACAGGCAAGAAAAAAAAGTCTGGTATTAAATGTAATGATATTTCCTTAAAGGCAGTGACCAGCATCATCACGGTGCTAATGAGCTGTCTAGCACAGAGGCAAAAACAAGACTCGTGAGAAGCCAGGTCCTCCCACCCCACACGGTGTCTTGTGCCATCAGAGCCCAGAGCCAGCATCAGAGCTTTTTCTAAGACCAGAGACTAGCCAACATTTTTGGGAAAGAGACAGACAGTAAATTCTTAAGGCTTCTTGAGTCTGTGTCTCTTTTGTATATCCTTCTATAATTTCTCCTTTTTTGTTACCAAACCTTTAAAAGTATAAAAACCATTTCGCTTCTGTTGGTAATCTGAAACCTCTGCAAGAGACATTAACAAAGTATTTCTACCTATAGCATCAACTGACTCAAAGGTGTTCCATCTAGGTTTTATTTCTGTTACAAGAGTGTTATGATATCCCTGTGAAAACTCTATCCTAGTTAGCCAGTAGATGAAGGTTCAGTTTTCACTTAGTAACAAGCAAAACACAATGTGTCCTCTTGCTACTAACTATGACCACACAGGTACATAAATAGAGCAACACCACTTACTTGCCACATTGGGGCTGGAGCGGTGATCGGCTCTGTTTCTTGTCAGTCTGTCATCACCAGGCAGTTTCTTTGGTTCACTGTACTCTGCCCAAGGCAGCTGAGGACTATCTGGGGAGCCATTTTGAGCTGAATTACTATAGAGCTCAAAGCCTTCACTCTTTGGTCGGGGTTTACCTGAGCCACGACGATCTGAAACTGAAATCAAAGCATGTTCAATCTTTATTTCATTGGTTCTAAGATTTTATTTTAAACACCCTGATCAGCTTTAAAATAAAAATAAATGTACCAACACCCAAACTTCCCAAGAAGCACTCCACCTAAGAAATAGGAGATCTCTCAGATAAGTGTGTACAATCTTTGTATACAATCTTTTTTTTGGGGGGTGAAAGGGGAAGCTGTACTGGGGTTTGAACTCAGATCTTTGCTCTTGCTAGGCAGGCGTTCTACCCCGAGCCACTCCGCCAGCCCTTTTTGGTCTGGTTAATGGGACATAGGTTCTGGCTTTTTGCCCAGGCCAACCTATTTTAGCATTCCCACCACAGCTGAGATGACAGGTGTGTAACACCTCGCCCAGCTCTTTTCTCCACTGAGATTGGGTGTTGAGAACAATTTGCCCCTGCTGTCCTCAAATAGGGATCCTCCTGACCTCAGCCACCCAAGTAGTCAGGTAGTCAGGATTACAGGTGTGAGCCACCGGTGCCCAGCTTAGAATCTCTATGGAGCTGTCAAATAAATGTCCTGACAATACAGAAGACATTTCATTAAACAGATCTATGGGAAAAATGCACTCTTAAAGTTTTCTTTTCTCACCAATTGAAACTTACCTTTCTTAAGTAATAAAGTAACCATTTTTAAAGTAACTTTTTTAAAAAGCCAAATATACTTTTCTTAGTTCTTACATTAACACTTTCGTCCACGGGTCACCTCCTTGTGAGTAGAGCAGCCATCCTTCGTGTGACTGCCAACTATTTCCCTACCTGCTCACTTGCTGACTCTGGTTGACTATGTCCTTCCCTCTTTGGTTCCTAACCCATGTTCTAGTTAAGTTTTATGTTATGTAAAAAGTGAAAAACAGGCCAAGTCAAGGCATTTAACCAGAGATGTGGTTTTTGTCAGTATGTCCTTTTAGTGAGCCTGTTTCAGTAAATAGGCCATGACTATAAAATACACCTCACAGAAGAGTAAAAGCCAGCTGCCCCTGGTGGGGGGTGAGTGGATCACCAGTTCTTACTTCTCTGCATCATGGGGGATGGCTGGTTGAGGAGGGTGGCCAGGCCGTGGTAGATGGCACCTTGCTTTGCCACTTCGAGTGTAACCACGGAACTCGTTCTTGTCATGAGTTCTGCTGCCCTAGGAAGAGAATGTAAGAAACGGTGTTCACTGCCATGTGGCAGCCATAGGCAGAACAAAATGTGCTCCTGTCTCCAGTTCATGTGCTATTCTGGGCAACAGTCCTGACTTGCAGGCAGATTATCTTTTGCCCATGCCCTTCCTTTGGAAATCATCTACAAAAAATGTAAACATACACCCTGGTATAACATTAAGAACAGTAAGATTATAATAAAAAATTTCAGGAAGTGCTAAAGACTGTACGTTTATATAAAATGCATGTATAAATGGATATACATACTCACTGTAGCTTAAAATAAACTGTCGTAGACTCAATAACAAGTGAAACATCACATACCTAATAGAGTTTTGTGCTTAGCAAGGTGAACAATGGTAAGAGCCCAGGGCTTTTGTAGTATTGTTTCCCAATTTCAAATTTGAATGCAAAGTATCACCGAACTGTGTTAAAACTAAGTTTTAAACGAATCAACCAATCATACCTTTCCTGAGAGAGTCCAACCAGACTTCGTCCATCCACACTGAGAAGCTGATCACCTGCAGCCAATCGTCCATCCTAAGCCCATCAGCAAGGCGTGAGACATAACAGGGAGAAGAAAGGCAGTTAAGTACACATGCATTCCTCCAGCCAGTACCACACGACCCTCCATGTCACTTGTCAAACACACAACAACTGCGAGTGAGCTTCTCTAAAGTCAATACTAACCACATCTGCAGCCCCTCCTTTCACGACAGACTTGACGTAGATCCCCAGTTTGTCCTGGCCGGCACCCTATGCAAAACAGGCAAAAATAGCACACTGAAAGCTGTGCAGGAAAGGGTGGCAAAACACAACCAATCCACATGTGCACACGTAACTGTGGCAACGCCCCAGGTTTCATCTTCACAGGAAGACTGGAATAAAAGTGGTTACTAACAGAATCAACACACTACTTAGTAAAACTAAAGAAATGAACAGGATGTGTTTCTATTTCATGGTTCCAAATTCAGAAGAAAAACTCCTGAAAAATCAAATTACTCACAGATCAGTTGATGAAAAGACTCCAGTAGACTTAAGAACAGCTTCAACAGTCAGAAGTGTAAGTAAATTAAAACTATGCTTGATACATACCATTAACCACTTTAGTACAAAAAGCAACTTACTGTGGTATTTTTAGCCTCATAACCTTGCTCTTTTCATACATATAATTTAGAATTTAAGACAAAAAGAACCTCTTGTGACAAACAGTAAGAGGGGTATAGGTAGTAAGAGAAAATCATGCAGAAAATACTACTGTGATTCATACACTGCAACTAAGCAAGTACCAAAACAACAAAACACAGCCCACATAGAATTGCTGTGCTGTGAAAGAGTGATGGCTTCTGTGACACAGAATTGGGTATCAGAGATAATTACAGAACAATCAATATTCTACTTAGACATCACAACTGTAACACAAACACATCAACACTTTGGATAATTTATTGGAACAATCAAAACAAGCAATCACATGCATGAAATCTTACTGGGTACTGCTGACAGTATTTGACAACTGAGTGTATAAATTTTTAGGCCACAACAAATAGAAGTAAATCCATATCCAATTAGCAATTGTGAAGTATTGTGTCATAATAAAGAAAAACAGCAGAGGGTACTCTAGAAGGAGACAGAGACAATGATTTCAACAAAGGACTTAATTAAAATAAATGTTTTACAATGCCCTGAAACGACTTAATTTTCACCTACAAACTATTCACATGCTCCCCCATTAGTTAACTTTTCTAGTTTATAGATGTCACTGCTGAAGTCTGACTCCTGTTGTTGGGGGGGGCGGTATGTGGACGTCATGTTTTGTGGACACACCTCGTTTTGAAAGCAGGAGAAAGCTTTTATTGGGTGTGTGGTATGTGTTAACTGTAGAGAGCAATGGGTTTCACTATGACGTTTTCACACATGCACCAGGTAGTCTCTCATCACCTGGGACTCAGTTTACAGAGTCCTTACAAGGTAACAGCGAGTCATCTCTCTCTCACCGCTCCTGATCACAGAATGGCACCTTTCTTACCTATCTTCACATAGGCAGAAGCATGTATGATAAATTTCAGGAAAACTGGCAAACTGAGGATGTGTCTGGCTCACCTGCAAACCTCCCCCTGCTCGACTGTCTCAGAACACTGCTTCTCTTAAAGCCCAGGTCGAGCGAAACTCCCCGCCCAGATGTTGTAAAATTCACAACCACCAAGGCTGCACACCCACTGCCAGGTACAACCCCCTCCTAACACACCATGCTCAATCACACCATGAGATCTGCCAGAATCCTCTCTGCCCAGACTCACCTGCCACCACCTGCCCACCCCATCTTCTGGAAAGGAAGATGCCAGCTCTTTCTCATTTGCATTTGCATGGAATTTCCTTTCTTCCCCTGGAGAAGGCAGATGTTCATCGAGTTGCCTGAAACACTGGCAACTCTCTCCTCTAGCGTAGCTTCCAATTAGGCTGCCTTGTGGTCAGCTACAATCTGATCAATTCTTAACTTTAAAATTTAAGATAAGAAGCCAGGCATGGTGGCACAGGCCTATAATCCCAGCACTAGGGAGGCCAAGACAGGAAGATTCCAAGTTTGAGATCAACCTGGGCTAACACAGTGAGACTATGTCCAAAAAAATTTAGCAAGAAAAACAAGAACAAAAACACTAAGAGTAAGTCTTTAATTCTACTCAATGAATACTTTAGTAAGTGAAGAAACAACTGATACATGTCCATCACATATGAGTGAGCAATCTAACTTTGTGAAATTACTAGTTTAGAAAGTTAGAGACCATGAGTATCTGAGACTACCGGACCAAAAGTGTATTTTAGGAAAGGACCCTTCAATCTGTCAATGTCAATAATGGACAATGAGGAAGACACAAGACTAAATTATTTTCTTACCTGCAGGCATCTGAATTTACATGTATACCTGCTTGTCACAAAAAGAGGTTTTGATTTGATGAAATGAGAATTCGTGATTGTTAGACTTTCGATTCAAAAGATCCTTTGGAGTCTATGATAAGTCATAAAAATAGATTTTGCTTAAGTCATGAAGGCATTATGAAATACATGACTTCTAAAAATACTCTTAAGTAAAGGGAAAGACAAGAATATACCAAATGTGCAAGTAAAGAATCTGGTTCCAGAATAGTTTAAGAGGCATCCACGTTCTCACTGGCCTTTAGATCTTCTAAATGCACTCAAATCTCATCTCATTTACCCAGCGTCTGTTCTCTGCCACCTGTGCTCCAGAGGCAGGCTGCCATCACTCCCACCTTGCCACACACACACACCCCACCCCCACCGTTGTGAGACACCCGGCTGTACCAGAGAGCCTTTCTCCCGCTCCATCTCTCCTACACCGCACGTGCAGCTCACAGCCAGAGCCTGGCCATGAAAAGTCGTGACAACAACTGCTGTATGGAGAGATTACAGCTCTACTGGCAATTTTAGAAAAGCAAAATTAACGTGAGCATCTAGAGATGAAAAGCCCTAAAGAATTTCTAACCATAGCTATCAGATAAACATGGGTAGTTGCTTTCACTCTGAAACACCACAATCTTTGTGCACCTGCCAGGCACCCACTGTGTCAACCTGGCCATGGCAGTCCTGGCCCCACCAGGTGGATAGCAGAGTGAAGAATGTCTGCTTCATCTCTGAGTGACAGCCACCCTGGGAATGGCCATCTGGACATGTGCCTCAGAAGGATGTGGAGCTATAAGAAGTCCTCAGCATTTTGGAGTTCTCTCACCACTTGCCTACTTCATCTGAATATAAACGATGTTAGCCTAAGTTAAAAATTACAAAAATAAAATTTATTAACTTCAGATTATTAAGCCACTTGCTTTATGACTTATTCATGAATGATGATACATAAGGTAACATAGCCTAGTAAGACTGAACTCGAAATTTATCAATATAATCTATTAGCTCCTATTTTGTGTGCTCTTGTGAACACACACACCCAATTAAAACTCATTTTATGGTAATTCTATTCCTCTCCTAGATAAGAAAGGAAAGGGAGCCCAGAAGTTCCATGTTCTTTACCACTGTATGTCAGTGCACAGACATCAGCCACTAAAGGCTCCATGTATAGGCTTTGTAAATGTAACCAAAAGCCAACCACAGGAATACAAAGCAAGAGTCTTGAGTGCTGGTAAAATGGTATCAGGTTGTCCAACACAGGAGTCACTTGGCCAAAGAGTCCTTGAAATACGGCTAGTGGAAGTGAAATGAAGTATCTGGCTGTAAAACATACCCAGACTTCAAAGATATACTATGGAAAAAGAAGGTGAAACATTTTATTAATGATTTTTATACTGAGTTCACGTTGAAGTAACATCCGGAGTGCATTAGATAAAATAAAATAAACATTAAAAGTTAACTTTGTTTCTTTCTTCGTGTGTGTGTGTGTGTGTGTGTGTGTGTGTGTGTAGCAAGGAAATCTTAAAGTACATGTGTGGCTCACATTATACTTCTACTGAAGGATTTCTGTAGAATCTTGAGGCTTATTAGCAGCCACAGTGCTAGGAACACACTTGTCCTTACGTACGTAACTACCACAACAAGAGGTTACGATACATACGCTAACATTACACACCCGATTTCCAACCTTGGGGAAACCAACAAGGGCCATTAAATGTGACACAATAAATACATAAAGGCACAGAATTTTAAGACTTACTTACCTAAAGGTACCTAAAACAGTATTTGAAAACATATCATTGCATTTGCACTGATCATTTGCAAAATTAAAGGAATAATCATAATCAGTCAGGACTGCCCATTTCTCATCTAACAAGTCAGCTTCCTCTTAAAAGGTGGTGTGTGGGGGGAGCATTTTGTAAAGTAGGTATTGGGAACTTCAAATTTCACTAAAATATAATTTTAGAATTTACTTAAACCAACTTAAAATACCAGAAATAAATTTTTTAACCAAAAGCACATTTTCCCTTATAGGAGCACTTGAGAACAACCTCCCTCGCGGTCCAGTACCCCAGCGGCAGCCCTCGGCCTCTGTGCCTTTGCCCCTCACCGTGAGTTTGGAACACTTTTTGGCAGGCTTGCACAGCACAAGCAGGATATGGATGCAGCCCTCGTGGCACTAACACTCTCATCTTAAAACACACCTTGCAAAGGCTTCTCTTCCCTTGAAAAGGGAGAGGAGATGTGGGAGGACAGGACAGTGGAGGAAGCCGTCTGACTTTTACGAGTAGAAAATTAGGAAGGAGCATGGCAAAACAAAAAAAAATGACAGAAAAGAGAGGTGATTCTGCAGCTGTAAGCTGCACTCCCTTAGACTTGGGAGAGACACGCACCTATTGCTGGCCTTGGGAAGGAGGAAAAGGCTGCTCCCTTGTCTTGCTCTGACCTTCCTCACCACCTTTTCAGAAGCCTGTGAAGGGACAGGTCTTCTGCCTCTCTCATGGGCCAGGAGGCACAATGAGAAGGAGCCTGTCCTCCACACATCCTGGCTGCAAATGTTTGAATGTGTGGGTGTCAGTATGAGTAACAGCGCAAAAAACATCATTAAATGCAAGCCAAAAGAAAAAAAAAAAAAAAAAAGGAGCAGGAGGAAAATGTGCATGCCAAGCTCACGGCTGTTCCATTGTTCTCAGGCAGAAGCCCAGCCAGGACTTTCAAGCAGGAGTTGCCAACAAGGGAATGACTGTGGGCCAGGCGACCTGAGGGTTAGGAGTGGCTCAAACTCCCAGCACGTGCAGGGCACTTCTCTGAGGACTTTCAGTTGCTATACTTCCAGCCAAACAAGAGGTTTAAAAAATATTCTAATGATTTGAGGGTTAAAATTACCTTATTTTTTAGGTACTCAGTTCTAAAATTCCTTTTTAATGTAAATTCTACCCTGGGCAACTTTGAAAAGTAAATAAATTATCCTACTAGACATGGAGTTGTAAACGAAGTAGCTAAGCTTCATTTCCAAGAGCCAACCTCCAATCCCGGCTCTGCTTGTTTGGCCTTTGTATTACATGCAATACACACCAAGCCAAACCAGACCCACCAAATTATCCATCTTCTTCCTCTCCGTGGTAAAATGAACTGATGGGAGATTTTGAAATGAGGTCCCCCAGACAGGCTGCAGGAGGTTTGTGAACCCCTGAAAACTGAGCAATACCCGGAGGAAATGCAGAGCTTCGCTGACCATCCTCAGAGGTGTGAGAGGAGGCGAAGGCCCTGCCTGCCCCAGGGCCTGTGTCTGGAGCCCTGAGCCTGCATGCAGGCAGATGGGGTTCTATTGCAGCACACTGTGAGAAGATATGCTTTTAGAGGACTAATAATTCCTGTTCTTATGTTACTTTAATATCGTAATGGCATTCAGTATGCCACTCAATTCAAGACTATGAGTACTATTTTATCTGTGGCACAAAAATATAAAATGCTGTGCCAACTTCATAAGTGAAAGCCCCAAGAGGCATTGTGCCACTTCAACTAACTTAACAGGAAGCCATTTCTGACATCTCCAAGGAAGACACTTTCCAGTCACAGTGGGATCTTTTTTTTTTTTTGGTGGGACTGGGGTTTGAACTCAGGGCTTCATGCCTTGCAAAGCAGGCACTCCACCACTTGAGGTACACCTCCAGTCCATTTTGCTCTGGTTATTTTGGAGATGGGGTCTCAAGAACTATTTGCCCAGGCTGGCCTCAAATTGTGATCTTCCTGATCTTAAGACTCTCAAGTAGCTAGGATTACAGGTGTGAGCCACAGTTTCCCAGCTCACAGTGGCTTCTTTGACATTGATTTTTCAAAGGAACCCAGAGCGTCCTGACTTGCTTTCTTTGAAGAGGTCTTTCCCACATGCTGTAATAAAGCCATTAAAGAACGCAAGAGGTAAAGTCTCTAGTCCTTCAAAGGACTAAATTACAGTTTATGTAAGGAACTTGCTCTTTAAACAGTGAGAAGAAGTTATATTAAAAGTCTATACTCTCATTTTAAAAGCATAGGACTCTTGCTAAGATTTAAAGCCTGAAAACCAGTAGTCTAAAAGCCTAAACTACAACATCTTTAAGACATTAATTAACCACCCATTTCTTAGATAAAACAGTAAAATACCCTAACTACTTTTAGGACTTTCATTTTGTTTGTTTAAAAAAAAAACACCAAAAAACCCCACAACCAAACAGGTTAGAGAAAACCCACAGTAAAACTACCCAAAACAGTCAAATGGAAATTCCATCATGGATATCTGAAAATATGTCCTTGGCAAATTATACAACGGTGATCATCATTTAAAGGAAGTTTCACTATACTGTAACAGGCAGGATTAAACACGACAGCTTTTTCTTGAACAAAAAGTATATAAGGGCTTTACATTTTCACAAACCTTAAGAATTTACCATATAAACAGTAGGCAACAACTATCTGGGTGTGTAATTACACGCTACATTAAATGGTTCTTCGTGAACAAGTTAATCATTAACAGGTTTAAACAAGTTACAGTGGAAGGAGAAACATTCTTCAAAGATCAGTTTGCCAAGTACGGGGAGGACAGCACCCGAAGAAACTCACCACCGATGCTGTCCTTCCAACCACAGAGAACCACATTTCCATCCCTAGGACTACAACAGCGTCTGGAGATGAAAACAGCAGAGTTCCGATCTCAACAGCAGCCAACACAGCTGGCTTTTGAAGGCCAGGTTCACCACAGTCTGAGCTGGATGCTGTGACACTGTACAGCATTTAGCAACATGAGCTAGAACCAATGCAACTTTCAGACTCTTACGCAACCAGTCCACTCGACTTTCATTCACTTTGTACTTTATTAAGCTTTAAAAAGAGCTAGAAAATGAAAAGGAGCTGTTTGTATATTAAAAGTCTGAATTAAACAGGAAGCATCATGTCATCCCACAGATGAGTAAGAAGCAGCACGCTGAGCTCCCAAAAGCAAAGCCTCAGACAGCAAACCACACAGCCACACTGTGTCCAAATCATCTGGGTTTCCTCAGGCTTAGCCACCGTGGGGAAGGCGAGGAGAGAACTGGACATTCAAACACAGGTCAGGGTTACAGCAGCTGACCCACACACCAGTGTAAAAGGAAAAGGCCAGATGGAACGCAGACCCAGAGTTGGAGCACACAGCAGAAGCACACGAGCATGGGAAGGTGTGCAGGCTGACAGGAAAAAAACAGGGCTGAAGGGAAGTGAGGTACACAAGGGCACACACAGCTGCTGCTGTCGTGCGTGACCCAGGCCCTCTGGAGTGATGTACCAGCCCGGCCTTCAAGGCAGGAAGAGGCCTCCACAATGGGCTGACCTGCTTCAGGAGGGAGGCAGAAGCAGGATCTGAGAGGTGCAGCATGACCGCAGAGCCCCGGCACCAAGAGCACCCTGAGTGGCTCGGCAGGAGGCAGGGCCCACAGTCCTCACTCATGCTGGGGTTCCAACACTGACCAAACCCACATTTAAAATGCACACCAAAATCCTGAAGACCAGTCGACTGCATTGCTATAACCTGTGAAGACCCATACCCCTCTCACCTGCACCGTGCTGTCCTGCAGGGTGCACACGTGAGGTAAATCTTGCTTTCTTTTGCTGGGCCTTCCTTCAGTACCACAGACGTGACAAATACGCTGGAGGAAAATGGGCTGTGTTAAGTTATCGGGCAAAACAGAGAACTACTATTCATCTGTCTTATTTCAAGAATAAGATTAATACAGTATTTTCATATCTGAAAATGACACATTGTCTAGTTAATAGACTGGCTCTTTTCCCTTGTTATTTCCTTCGGAGTACTCATATGCCAATACAAAACTTTGTGGCTGGCTCTAACCTTCTGACCTCCACTACCCAACTCTGCTATGAAACATGTCCACTTATCTGACCAGGCTCTCCAAATCTCAAGTGTAACACATTCAAACCCCACCACCAACCCTGCCCCTCTGCAGGTTCCTTGTCTTTAGCGGCCCTGCCTTCAGTCAGTGATACCTCCATTTGCCTGGCTGCTCAAGACAGAAGAACCAGGGTTCGTTTCAAATTTCCCTCTTTCACCCACTATCCTCAATTCGTTAACCCATCTGAACGCTATTGTCCAACAAGTACATATCAGCACTGACCAGACCCAGAAACTGTCCATCCTGCACCAAGGTACAAGAAGAAACACTGCCCTCGCAGAGGTCTGTCCTGGAATGACTCAGGCCTCAGCGGACTCAGCACTCCTGCTGTTGGCCACTGTCTGCCATCTCAGCTGCTAGGACCTCTCACTTGGGAAGCAGATGCTGTGAGCCTGAGATCCATGTGCTACAGACAGGAGTAGTCTGAGTATGTTATGCCTTCACTAAATCTCTTCAAAGGCTCCTTCTGCACCTATTATAAAATGTGCAGCTCTGTGGAGACCCAGCTCCACAAGACTCTGCCTCAGGGCCAGCCAGTAACCCAGCACTTGTTCTTGTGAATGAAGTTACTGGAAAACAGTCCTACTCAGTCCTTCACCAACTATCCACTGGCTGCCTGCACCGTTAACAGGACCATGCAACTCAGTTCCACAGAGTCCATGTGCCTTCAAAGTGCAGTAGACTTACAATCTGGCTCCGGCAGAAAACACAGGCCAACTGCTACCTGATCTGGCCCTGCCTCTTGACCTCTCAGATTTCTCTCACTGCTTCCTGCACTTCTACCATGCTGGGCTTGGAGCCTGCCATCTTTAACCTGGCAACCCTAACTTACCCTTCAGGTCTCAGCTCTAAAGCCATTACATCAGCTTTACCACCAGTGACCACTACATGTCAGAGTTTAGACATTCAGCAAGCACCTTATGTAGATAATGAACTGTGATGCTGTTCCTTAGGTGTTTTTTTTTTTTTTTTTTGGGCTCATTCCTCAAGTGACCAATGGATGTGTACTGATGAAGCAGGCACCTAGGATCACAGATATTCTTGGCAAAAGATGACGATTTGAGTAGGTAAAAAGTGACTTTGTAAGTGTCAAATCTGTATTTAGCCTCATTAGATCTACTTTGTAAGCTAATGAATTCACAACCTTCAGACTAACTCTGGACTCTATCAGAAACTCTTTTTACAGGGCTAGTTTTGCTTTCCTGCACACTAT